ATATCCTTCTCCTAAGGTCCTAAGGCTTGTTTAGGGAAAGCACTATGGCCCTAGAATATTTCTTCTAGGGTCAAGAAGGCCAAGGAGCCCCTTGCCACCACTTTCAACACTCTCCTGGATGTACTGAGCACCACAATTAGACAGAATTATAGAGATTAGACAGACTGTACAGACAAGAATTAAGAATAAAGCCAAACCATATCTGACTGTCCTAAGGTCCTAAGGCTTGTTTAGGGAAAGCACTATGGCCCTAGAATATTTCTTCTAGGGTCAAGAAGGCCAAGGAGCCCCTTGCCACCACTTTCAACACTCTCCTGGATGTACTGAGCACCACAATTAGACAGAATTATAGAGATTAGACAGACTGTACAGACAAGAATTAAGAATAAAGCCAAACCATATCTGACTGCAGGTGATACGATCATGCACCTGAGTGACTACAGGTCATCAATGACAAAATACACTCTTTTCAGGTACATATAAAATATTCAACAGGACAAACCATATTCCAGGCCACAAAATAACTAACGCAAGCAATGAAACAATTCTGTATAGTAACAGGCTGCAATGCTCCAACACAGAAAGCATTAGCTTTTATACACACAAACAATAACTAGTTAGCTGATAAAGTGATGGGAAACACCCATTTACAATACCAACTAAGAAGGTTAAAGACTTCAAAGTGAATTAAACTAAGAAACATACAAACCTGATATGAGGAAAATGTTTAACTGTTTTAACTTTGTTAAAACTTCTGGAAATGTGACAGCAGATGCCACGTGTCCTCAGGTAGGACAGCCAGGCACCATAAAGAGGCAGCTCTGCCAAAGTCACTTTATAAATAAAGAGAAAATATCTTTGTGTGTGTGTGCGTCAGACAATCCCATTAAACTAACAGACTGTTTGATGGTTTTTGGAGTTATGCAAGTTTATAGTAAACTTTGTCAGGAAAAATAAACATGCAAGAATACTAAACAAAATCAACATGGAAGACTAGCTCTGCCAAATATGAACATATACTCCACAGCCTCTCAATTTAGAGCAGTATGTCCCAGGCAGTGCAGACAGACAGACCAAGGATTGAACAGAGATTGAGGACTAGATCTCATGGACACAGAGAGCCCTCGGAATCAAAATGGGGACTCAAGTCACTAGGGCAAAAAAAAAAGGATTTTCCCATATATGGCACTAAGGCAACTGTGTTGTCATTTGGGAAAGATAAAACTAGATTCACATCTTACAACATACATGAGAGTAAATCCCCATTGAATCCCAGATCTATGAAACCAGATAGATACTAAAAGAAAACAGGTAAATTCCTCTTTAACCAGGATATAAGTGAAAAATACCAACCCCAGACAACCTTGGATCACAATGTTTGGAATATGTGCTCTAGGGCCAATGTAAGGGTTTTCTGACTATGACTCAAAATCCAAGTGCAATAACAAAAAGAGAATGATAAATATGACTACATTAAGTGAGTAAGTAAAAATTTAACATGGAAAGAAAATACCTATGGCACCATAAATGAAGTTAAAATACAACTACAAAACAAGGAAAAAATATTATGATGCCTATCACAGTTAAAAGGCTACTCTTGCTCATATACAAAGGTCTTTTAAAAAATTGGAACATTTGGGCACAGTGCTGCATCCCAGCTGTAATCCCAGCTACTGGGGAGACTGAGGCAGGAGGATCATGGGTTCAAGGCCAGCCTGGGCAATATAACATGACCTCTGTCACTCACCCCCAATTTTTTTTTAAATTGAAACAACATAAAACTAAAAATATGAAAAAAATAGGCTAGTGGCACAAATTGACAATTCACACAAAATATAAATAAAATGCTTAAACACATCCAGCTGTTCCCTCATCATGAGGGAAACACAAACCAAAAACTACACTAGGTGCACACAAGAGTAGAAAAGACATACCATGTACAGAGCAATCAAACACTAATTCAAAGAAAGCAAGTCTAAATTAAGGCCAAACAGACTTCAGACCTGAGAAAATCACAGGGAGGAGAAAGAACAATACATAATGACAAGTTACCTAACTCACTGAAAGGATATATTGAGGCACCTGACAAAATCACTCTAAGGTATAAGAAACATACGAAAAATGCAGAGGAAGAAACAGACAGGTCTACAATTATCTTTGAATAGTTCAATACTTTTCTTCTAGTAATTGGTAGATCAAGTAGACAGAAAATCCACAAATATGTAGAAGTTGCACAAGATTATCAGCCAGGCACATCTTACTGACAGCTGTGGCATTTCCTAACAACAAAATA